GGTCCCTGGGGATCTGCAGGGAGGGAGCAGTTATGGCGGCGCTCAGTTCTGTCCCTAGGGACTCTGCCTCACAGAGTCCCAGCAACCGCTGCAAACCTCGGAGAGAAAGCTGCCCTCAAGTTCCGACCGAGGCCAGACAGTCCGGCTTCTCCCGTTTGAGTCTGCGTCCCTAGCGACTCGCCCGGATCTGGGGCTCAGAGTCTGATGCTCCCTCCTGATTGTAAACAACTGCGCCCTCTGCGCCGCGCCACCAGCCCGTTCTGCGCGCACTCCACACCTGAGAATTTCACTTCAGCACTGCGCCTCCTCTGAGTCTGGATATGATATTCTCTTTACTCCTAGTTGTAGAATTTCCACTCAGCCAGCCCTCCTGTGGTTCTGGATGTTGTCCGTTCCCTGTTTCAGTCTTAATTTGAATTGGTTGTTCAAGGCAGCAATCTCCGGCGTTAACCTATGCCGCCATCTTTGGTTCCTCCGATTATTCCTTTCTTTATTGTCTGTTACACGGCTCTGTTTATAGGGATTGTCCTTAGAGTATAATGTGTCCTTGCAAGTTCCCTTAAACTTCCTTCCCAGTTGTTTCTAGGAATTGTTGGCCTTTCTGAATGTGCAGGGACGGGAGGTTGAAGAGGAGGGGTGTGTGTGTGTGTGTGTGTGTGTGTGTGTGTGTGGTTTGGGGGTAGCACACAGTAATCTCACCAACACAAAGATCTGCCCTGATGGGGATTTGAAGTTGGCTGCAGGCTTCCAGCGGCTACAGCTCCTGAGTGTCTGAGTCCGATCACCAGCCGGAGCGGGTGTCTGACGTGCCTTCTTTTTCTCAGGCGGCCTCCGTTCTGTGAGCCTCAAGCTAGTTGTGGCATCATGACAGTTTCTTTTGGTTTTGTTCTGTTTTTCCCCTCCTCAGTCAGTGTATGATGGGTGTTTATGTTCAGCGAGATCCTTCCAGGTTGCGGTGCTATCTGTTGATTTTCCTTTTGCCTGGAGTGATTTCTTGTATGTTCAGAAATCGAGAGAAGTTGACAGGATTCACTTGACCCTGGAAGTCCATGCACCTTAATTTCTGGCTTTGTCTTCTGACACCTGGAGAGGAGGGCTCGTGCTTTTAAGTCTGGTAATAGAATTCCTAAAAAGTAGTTATTGTGATAGCTGTATATTTGGCTTGCTACTAGGAAGGGTAGGAGTTTTACAGTTTCATTTGAGTTTGACATTATATGGTGTTTCTGTTTCAGATCCTGGCCGCAGCGATGTTTCACTTCTTCAGGAAGCCTGTGGAACCGAAAAAGCCCTCGGCGTCAGACACGGAAGCAGATGGGTTTGTCCTTTTAGGTGAGTTTCTGTTAAGAAACGAAATCGCAATTACATGGATTATTTTTCCTTTTTAAAATATTACTTGAAAATTATAGGATTTATTTTTAAAAATTATTTCCCAGTAATTCCAGAATTAATTTATATTAAATCTATAAAGTTCATGAATCACTTAGAATATTGTCATCAAGTCATACTCTTCTTATAAATTGCTTTGGCCATGACCTGAAAATCAAATTTATAAAATTACCCCGTTTTTCTCTCTCTGATATGCCAGTCAACCTCTTTAGTTGTGAAAAACCAAAATTCATGAAGAATCCTTGATAATTTCAAGTTGTTTTATAAATAGCAAGCGTTGCTTTTTAAATTCGCGTCTTAAGTTACATTAGGCATCTGAAATAGAAATATTTGCTGAATGCAATACACTTTTCAATCTAATGTTAGTGTCTCCTAAATGTTTAAGCCTAGTTGATCTCCTATTGTAAAATTATTACTACTATTTATTAGGATTTAAGTGATTTTAGAAAATATTTCTTTCAACCAGTAGCTATGCTTTTCCCCTGAGGAATTCTGTAAAAGACATACCAACCTTCCTTCATGTCATGGTGTCTTTCCCTGAGGAGGAGATGTGGATTCTGGTGAGGACAGAACCCAGTTTCCCCCAGTGGCTCCCATCCTCTCCCACCTGGACCTCCTCCCACCAGATCCGGGTTCCTCTCTGAGATGATTTGCATGCACTCATAGGGGGTTTACTCTCTGGGATGTCCCTCAGATGTCTTCCCTTCCAGAGTCTGGTTTCCAACCTCTTCCTTCGTCCTGGCCCAGTCCGACTAGGGTCCCCCTGGGCATTGGCAGGAGTTAAAGGCGATCCTGAATTTTCAGCTTAGACCCTCTGGCAGCCAGGCTCCCGCCATGCCTCGACCCCAGACATTCACAGGTATGGTGGGTGGCTCTCTGCCTCTTCAGCCTTTGTCTGTAGGATCCGGTTCCTTGCAGACAGGACACGGAGGTTTTCTCTCTCCGGACCCCTTCCAGTTCTTGGCCTGAATCTCCGGAAGATCAGAATAGATTTTCTCCAGCTAAATGTTACCTTAGATATTGTGTCTTCCACAGTCAGGCTCTGGCAGGCCTGTGTGTTTTCCGGAATCTGCTTCTGTGACCTGGGACAGGGGCCGTGGTTGGGGCGCTCAGAGTTGTTTTTTTCTCCGACCAGATCCCCTACGCCGGAGGCAACATAGTGGGGCGCAGTCTGACCAGGGCCAGTGAATTTTCTGAGGAGCCTTTTGGCTGGGGTACTGTGGGGTGCTGTGGACACGACTGCTTATCAGGCCTTTCTCAGCATGTCAGGAATTAGTGCCTTGGCTTCACAGTCAGAACTGGCTCTGTCAACCCCAAGTTCCTTTTTTTTTTAAAAAAATTAAAATCTTTATTGTTGAAAGTGTTACATATGTCCCCTTTCCCCCCATTGATCCCTTATAGCCCTCCCCCCCACTCCAGGCCTTCACCACCATATTGTCTGTGTCCATGGGTTATGCATAGATGCATACAAGTTCTTTGGTTGATATCTTCCCACTCAGCTACCCACCCCCACCTTCCCTCTGAGATTCAACAGTCTGCTCCATGCTTCTGTCTCTGGATCTATTTTGTTTCCGTTCCTTGAAAGCTGCCAATGTTGCTTCCCTTTCCCATCATAATGTATTAGCCTCACTAACAGAAAAACTGCAGCGATGTCTCTGGTCTTCTGTGAAGTTTCTGCTTTCTCAGGAGTTTCACAATAAACTCCTCTCTCAGAAATATGCTTCCACAAAGCCTGATTTTTCCAAACTCTGCTCTGTATTCTTGATTTTAGAACACCTCTGTCTTGTTAACATAGGCAGCAGACCTTGCTTTTTCCTGTGTTTCATGGTTAGAAATCAGTATTATTCCTTTTGTTATCTAATAGCTATTTAAAGGATGTACGTTTAGAGAACTAAATAGACATAAGACAGATTAGTAGGAGAAAAGCACACAGATGTTTACATGTCCATGGCAGCCCTCATAGAAGAGTGAAGACCAAAAGAAGTGGTAAAAACCCAAGTGCTTCTATGCCAGGTTGAGTAAAGAGGCAATTGTGGGAAAGTGACTAAAATATGTGGGGAGACTAGTGGAAGATCAGAGTTATTTTAACAAGTTCTGTCTGTATAGTTCTCTTGGCCTCGATTCCCCATCTCCGGTGATAAGAATGTCTCTTTCTTCCTGGCATCTTTCACATGGGGGTTTTATATCTTGCTTTCAGTTCAAAATTATCCTTATGCCAAAGTGGCACATTTTTTGGGTGGCGTATCTGCCACCCTTCACCATTTTGGGCAAGTTATGTAACCTCCTGGGTGTCATTTAGCTTCTCTAGAGAATGAACATGATAACAGTACCCCCCCATAGGGTGGTTGAGGGGATTCAATGAGTTAATGTGTATAAATTGCTTAGGGAGTGAAGTGGTGGTATTCTCTCTCCGTATACAGGTGAGGACTTAGGTTTTCCAAGTTCCCCCAGCTAACACATAGCAGATCTGGAATTAGCCCAGGACTTCAGAGCCTACCTCCTGCCCTCCTAAACACTAAGCTATCCATTTTTTAAAATGTCACGTTTTTAAATGTCATTAAAAAATTTTAATGTCATTTTTAATTTTAAGACATTATTGACATTTTAAGATTAAAAAAAGAAATTGTGTTTTTTATTGTTTAAAAGAGAAAGTACTGATTTTTTGTTGTTGTTTTAATAAAGGAGGGCAGTATATTATTGTTCATAAAGTTTGGGTTTAAATTTTGATACCCCCCAATTTTTACTATTTAATACTTTAAGTATATGAAAATATTGCAGAAATCCGTAATCTCCTTAATGAGGTTGAGATTGGAAGATGGTATACATTGTTTAGTTAGTAAAAAAGGAATCCTTTGACAGTGAAGGACTTAACTGAATTGACTGATAAAAGTCAGGACGGATTATTAGGAATATAGTTCATTATCTTTAAAAATAGAATGATAATGTCTTCTTTTAAAAAAACTGATTTGTTCTGCTAGTTGCTCTTTTTATCACATGGTTCTAATCTATACTGACATATACTATATCTGCTGTAGTCTCAGCATACTATGGAAAATATTTTGGAAAATGCCAAATAGGACAAATACTAGGTATGAAATGCTATTATTAACATGGCCCCATACTTACACACATGTATTTTGGTTATCATGTGTTCGCATAACTTTCTTTGTCCTTGTGGCAATAGATAATATTGCAGGCAAATAAATGTATATGATTGCCTTTGTGTGTTTATCTATAATTTCTAAATGAGGCAACAAACTAAAGACTTAGAAACATGATTATATTATGGTAACAACTTCTTATCAATATGTAGTCTACAGAATTTTTTAGATTATCATCTTACCTGGCCTTTATAACCTGTTTCTAATAAGGTCAGAGTAAATTATGTTGTTAAAAGAATAAATTATCTATTTTTTTCCACTTGAGAATACCTTTCCCCTAGGCAAGCTTTCCTGCTTAACACAAATAGGTCTTAGGCCACAGTTATTAGATGGTGTTGCTGAGTTGCTAAATTCAGGGTCAAGCAGAGCTTAGGCACTTTTGTTGATAATAGGAATATCTGGGCTGTTCATATACAATTAGCTCACTTTGGGATGGAACACTTTTTCTCTGTTGAGGTTTACAAAGACTTTGTAAAATGTCAAGTGTGCTAAATAAGAATAAGGGGAAAAAACAGCCTAGGAGAAAAACATCCTTTCCCAGGTAACCAGCTCCTATTCACATAAGAAGGTAAAGGCTATTCATTCATTCAGTAATGAAGTTGAAGTAATCCTCCAGGGTACTCATTTTACACAAAAACAAATTGCAGTTACCATTTGCAGCACTGGGTGGCGATTTTTCTTAGTCTTACCACTGTTTAAAACCCCAGCAAGCATGGTCCTATTTGTAGTCCCCAGAGTGTTCTTCTGTTATGACATGTTTAATTGTACTTTTAAGGCATCATCTTTAAGTTGATTACAAATTTGCTATTGTAGTGCACAACCTCATAGTTACTTTAAATTAAGATAAAGGGGTATCTGTTGCTTAGATGTTGGCATATAATTTTTTCCAAAACTAAGACAAAAGCATGAATTAGCTTAATATGCTATAGCTAAGTGAAAGAAAACTAGCAGCAATGAAAACCCCTCCGTAGAATATAAAATTAAAAGGAATAATTTATGTTACTGTTGTGTTCAGTGACACTGCTGACCAGATGTTGAATATAACTTTGAAGAATGAATTGGGCAAGTACAATTTCAGAGATTAAAGGAATCGGGTTTCAGTTCAACTGAAATTCATCATGTTTTTCAGAATATGCAGGTGCTTCTTAAAGTAGGGCCTAAGAACTTCTAGTTTCCATTAAGCTAATTATTTTGTAAACCTCATTGAATTTAGGATCAGAGTTTAGTAATTCACAACAGTTGGATGTCATCTTTTGAGTACTGATATTGAAATATGTGATTTAGTCTCACCTTCTGTTTTCCAGGTTAAATGATAAATCAAATTTTGAAAAGTAGTGGGCTATTTTTAAGATCATTACCTACTGCAGTCCTCGCCCTGGGAATCATTCAAACCATGTACACACACTAAATTCAACTATCATGTTTTTATATGGAGCTTTTTAGGAAGGCTTTTCATCTCTGTATTCTTTCCTTTATTTAGAAGTGGAAAGTGAATGGTGTACAATAAAAATTTACATTCCACGGAATGAGGGACAGTAAGTCACTTTGATCATTTGTAAGACTGAAGGCTTTAGTTAAAACAATGACAAAAACGAAACAGATTGTCAGCATGTGCTTCCTGTTTTTACTCCCTGCGCATAAGTGTACCAAATCTTAACAAAATAGTGTTTATGGATTAAAAAAGCAACTTACCCTCTTAACATCCCTTTACTCATATATTTGATATCCACAAAAACTCACATGACAATTAATTTACTTTGCAATCTTTGTGTTTTCACTCTT